TTTGCGGAGAGGGGCGTCGCCCTCATCAGCGCGTTCTGCGGCGCCATCACGCGCGACGAGGAACAGCGACAGCACCTTCTGCAGGTCGTGGAGCGACACCGGGCGTTGCACCCGTGCGCGAAGTAGGCATGGGATGGCACGCACGGGCGGATTTCGTTTTTTTTGCGGTCTAACAGTGTCACTAGTGTTGATGGACATTATAGACAGATGGACAGATAGACAGATGGACCAGTTAACATGGACCAACAATCTCACCAGTGTTGAAGGATAACCACGGTTGCCTTTTTTGCAATACATGCGTTCCTGTCTTCCGTCTTTGAATTATTGCAAGTGCGAACTGAACAAAACAAAATCCTTACTGTACGGGAGAAACCGTACTACCATTCAGCCCCGTAACATTCTTTCCATAGGGGAAACTTTGGTCGCTCTGCGGGACGGGATAAAATTATCCGATCGGAATAAAATTTTGCACACATCCTTGTGTCATAGTATCGACAAGATTTCCGACCCGGCCCGACGAATCCGACAAACTTTTCCAAAATGGACCACCCTAGTGTGCATGTGTATTGAAGGGGGGGTGTATGCGTGCATGTGTGGTAACGGGTCTATCGCGGGAGATTGGCAGCTTTAAAAGTAGATCTTAGGCCAAAAAAGTTAAGGCATCCCTGGTCCAAAGTATCAGAATTTCAGCCTCTCAGCAGTACAGTTTCTGCGATTCTGGAGTCGTCCATGAAAGCCAACAGGTTATCTTGGACAAGTGCAAACATCTGATCTTTTTTGTCTCAGTTCATATTTGCCTATTTCCTGACATGCCACAGAACAAAGTAGTTAGTCACTTCTGCAGCTTCATTGACTGCATTTTCATTAATGTATGCATTTTCTGCACTATTGATTTCTGCACTTATTTTTCATTTTATTTCAAGCACTGAATGACCCCAAGAGAGCCAGTGAGAGGCTGAGGAGGGGCCTGATGTGGCTATTGTGTTTCAACAAGCCACTTTCTGGCCTCAGATACTACCTCAGAAGGTGTGGGTCAAATTCAACCCCCCCACCAATCCTTAATCAGTCCCTTTCAAAGAGAAAAACAAGACTGGAAAGAGCAGGCTTTGACATGATTTGGATTTCAGTGAGAAAACTTTACCATCTCACATTTATTTTCTGAGTTTAATCAATCGTGATTATACTTTGTCTCATTGGTATGGTATGATGTGCTGCAAAGTATTTGCTACGAAACCCCAGGGTGGGAACAAGCACGTTGGATGACAGAGAGTCAGTCAACTTCATAATGAACTCTGAAAACTAGTCATAATATTGAACCTGGACCTGAATTTAACAGCCACATTAATCAATAACATCAGCAGCTTTTAACCCTTTCAGGGACAGCGGTTACTTCAGTGGACAGTTTATGTTATTAGGTTACAGGGTATATGAAATGGTTAAAACTGTCACGAATCAAAGGAATAGCATCTCAAATTGATTTAAGAGACTCAAATCCAGGGGTGTCAAACTCATTTTTGTCACGGGCCACTTTGAAGTTATGTATTCCCTCGGAGGGCCATTAAGACAGAGACACCAAATAAATGTTTCATCTCATCGCATTTTTACTAAGACACAACAAATTGATGGAGTACCAGTTTTAAGTCAACCATAATAGTTTGATCCGTGATTGTTCAAGTGACTGTAAACAGAATCACAAAACTATTACGAAATCTCAGCGTTATTTATGACACATTACGAGTTGACATTTCAGTACAGATTTTAGCAAGGAAGTTGACACACGATTTGCTTTCACGGGCCACAAAAGAGGTGTGGTGGGCTAGATCTGTTGCCCTGGCCTTGAGTGACACCTGTGCTCTTATCCATAGTTTTGTCTCCAGCAGGTTAGACTACTGTAACAATCTACTGACTGGGATCTCTAAGTGTGCTATAAGATAGCAGCAGTACATCCAAAATGCTGCTGCTCGAGTCCTGACTAGAACAAGGAAATCTGAACATATGAGCCCAGTGCTCAGGTTTCTGTATTGGCTTAATGCCACTCAGAGATTAGACTTCAAACCGCTCTGTTCACCCCTTCATGGTAACCAAAGTACTTTGTACATCTCTGACAAATCACATGAGATTTCTTGGGCTCGAAGAACCCCAGGCAGTGGTCTCCTCAGTTTTATGGTGATAGAAATTGGGACGGTCTTGCCGAAGATGTGACACAGGTCTCAATTCTGAATATGTTCAAAACTAGGCTGAAATACTTCTATTCGGTTCTGCATATGACAATTCAAAGTATTTTTTCTACTTGCTTTTAAAATAATCAATTCACGATTGTTTTAGCCCTTTCAGGGACAGCGGTTACTAGAGTGGACAGCGATTCACATGTTGTTTTCTCTTATATTAATTGATCTTAATGTCACAGATGTGCATGAACATCTACAATGGACCCTTACATGTGTTGCCATCCACTGCCATTATTTTTTTTTCATGCCTAAAGACTAATAAAAACACGAGAAAAAAAATCCTGATGTAGGTTACTATTATTTGTGCATGAAAGGGTCAATGTTTTAATGCAATGATTTTGTGTGCCTTTTTGTAATTTTATATCACTGTAAAAAACTTTGAATTGCCTTGTAGGAATTATGCTCCACAAATAAACTTACCTTACTTGTGTTGATTTCTTTACCTCATTGGAACAATACTGTGACAAACTTAACATTGCAGTTTGTGCGAAAGGTCGCAAATATCACTTTAGTCAAACTTCAATTCACTGTGAAAGTTGGTATGGGTATGAGGAAATTCCTACCTTAGTGTGGGATTAATTACAACAGACCAGACTCTATCATAAAGGGGAATCAGATCTCTGGGGCAGCTGGAGGCCAATGTCCAGATCTAGAGAAGGAATTAAGAGTCCTGTCAAAATCTGTCATGCATGATTCATAAACGGATACAGGTATTCGTTTATGGTAAGTACGAGTAAAAAAATAATGACAATTGGTGTTATAATGTGCAATACGAATGGAAAATGAATTGTGACCTTGATTGTTTGGTCTCTCGAGCCACTGACGATGAGTTCATTCCTTGAGTCAATACAGTTTACTTCCTGATTATGACCGAATAACTTCATTGTGCTGTCACTCCTTCTGTTGTGCACCAGAATCTTGCCATCACTAAAATACACAAAGGGGGGTTATTACAAGGACAACTCGCTCATCTGGTAGGGTGTAGGTGAGCTGAAAGATGTAGCAGATATCATTTCAACTACAATTCAGCTTGACTCTTTTTCAAATTACGGCATTTCGGAGGACAACTGGTTAGCACGTCGGCCGCACGGTGCAGAGGTGAAGGGTTCGATTCCAGCTCCGGCCTTCCTGTGTAGAGCTGGCATGATCTCCCCATGCCTACGTGGTTTTTCTCCGGGAACTCCGGTTTCCTCTCACATTCCAAAAACATACATGGCAGGTTAATGGAACACTCTAAAATTGTCCGGAGGTGTGAGTGTAAGCGTGAATGGTTGTTCGTCTATGTGTGCCCTGCGGTTGGCTGTTAACCAGTTCAGGGTGTACCCTGCCTACTGCCCGAAGACAGCTGGGATAGACTCCCACACGCCCGCGATCCGGGTGAGGATAAGCGGATTGGAAAACGGCTGGACGGATGTTTTTCAAAAACATATTTTCCGCACTGTAAGGCGCATTCCATTTTCTCAAAAGCCGACAGTGCGCCCTATAATCCGATGCACCTAATGTAAAGAGCCTATGAGTTTCTTTATATTCCCCATTGAATAGTTTCCCTGTTAGTGTTCCTATCTGGGGGTGATTATTAGGAGGAACCAATTGGAACCTGAAAGGGTTCTGCCCAACACTAATTGATATGTGCATTCGCCAACACACACTCAAATAAAGAGAGAACTACTTTGTGAGCTCTGCGCAGCCATTATGATAGGAAGGTAATACCAAAAGCATAGTTAACAACTGACTAAACGAAGGAAGGAGACAAGCAAGACTTCTCAGGATATTTAGCCCCTTGTGGATGTGAGCCCACGAGGTTTATGTGTCTTTTTGTTGAATCAATTGTCTTCATAACTTTTGTCTTTCATTCATTGTTTTGTAATGCCATTTGTATTTATCTTTCATGTTTGTGTTTGTGACTAGTTCTCATTGTTACAGCTGCAGCGGTTTTGAAGGCTCTATATAAATAAAGCTGTATTGTATTGTATTCCCTTTAGCATTGTTCCATCTAGTAGATGCATAGCGCAACTGCAACCACTATTGTAGCTTCTATTCTATGCGCCTTATAATGCAGTGCGCCCTATATAAGAAACAGTTTTAAAATAGGCCATTCATTGAAGGTGTGCCTTATAATCTGAAGCACCTTATAGTGCAGAAAATACAGTAATTAGTTTTCAAGTGAGTGACATTACTGCTCTGTTTTATTATTTATTATCATTTTTACTCTCCTTTATTAACCACTCACAAAGGTAGTGGAATAAACGGAGGCCACAAAACCACTCTTTTATCATTGCTTTTTCACTTGTTGTATTTTGCGGTCAATAAAAAACTGGACAACAGCGTTTTAATTTCTGGGTCGTCCCGGACGTCGATGTCTATTTACGCCACACTTAAAAAAGTCCTGAAATGGATCAACTGAAAATAAAATAAATCCACTGTATCCTTTGGATTTACCTAATTCAGACATGTACATATGTTACACGACTAAAACAATGGTCAAATGAAACACTAAATAGCTACCTTTAGGTCTCCATTCACACTTCAGAGCGGGCTGCTAAAGTGCGCCAAAAAACTCTTTTACAGATTCACGGACGATTGTCTGTATGCTCTGCCGCAAGCACTCTCACCTGCACGCATCGACAGCAACGAGGCCAATGTGTGTGGCATTTCACGTATGAAAATATTACCAAAAGAAAAAAAAAAAGACATTTACCTTCATCTTCCACTTCATCACCTCAAGAACTCATTCATAACTACTCTGAAATGCCCCCTCCCCCACCACCCCCACCTCCAAAGAGAAAGAAAATGTGGATTGAAAACAAACCACTCTATAAACCAATGTTGATTGCAGTTGCCTCATAATGTCAGGTTTTCTTGAAAAGTACGGTTTGAAAGTGAATTTTCAATCATAGTCCATTATCGTCCTTCATATCGTAAATTAAGCTTCGGCCGCCCAGTGACAGGACGGAGAAACTCACTCGTCATGGGGGCCTGCGTGAAGGCTTTCTGAAGGTGAATGTATGATCTGATTGGCTAAAAGAAGAACCAGTAATTTCAATGTTTTGTGTGTGTGTGTGTGTGTGTGTGTGTGTGTGTGTTTGTGTTTTTATTCCCAGAAAACAAGCAGATTTCACACAAGTACCATGTCTGAAGTTCAGTTCGGAGCTGTTGTTTGGTTGACTATTTTTGGCTTTGCCTTTGAAGCCAAAATATAAGTCACACACACACACACACACACACACACACCCCTTGTCAAAAGAAGACTCAAAAAAGTGAACACTACCTTCCACCACTGATCAGATGAGAGTCAGTCAGAACAAATCTGCAGACATCTGCCTGGTGGCCAGAGTAGACTTTTACAGGATTATACCGTATCTTCTTGCAGCCATGGCGCAGTGGGTAGGATCTAATTTCTGCAGCCTGAGACAAAAATAGTGTGTCCCCATCCAGCTGTATCCATGGCAACAATCTACAGAAATAATTAAAAGTCAAGTTAGTATGATAACATTGTGTGTCATATTTTGGATATTAGAGGAACATGTATAAACTGGTCATGATTATCAATGATGGTGGAGTTACATGTGCATGGTATCCTACTTCGTGTCCTCCAAACGGATATCTATTGTTTATACCAGTGTTTTTCAAACTTTTTTGAGCCAAGGCACACTTCTTTCATTGGAAAAATCTCGCGGCACACCACTAGCTGAAAATGTGAAAAAAAAAACAAAAACGTTTATTTGAATAATTAATGTGTTATATTGATACTATCACCGTTTTTAGCATTGAAGAATGACATTACAACAGCTTGAATTGGAATGAACACAAAGAAAAAAGTATTTTCTCATCTTTCATATTTATTGTTTCACCGTCGTCCTGCATTCATGTGTCACAAATTCGCTTGTCTCTCGTCGAAACACAAGGCAATTGGCTAGCTGTTGCTGCTCCCTAGCGGTATGGGAGGGTACTACATGATTACTTTCTGGGCGAAAGACCACACAGGCATACAAATTGGATATTTTCCCACGGCACACCTGACAATGTCTCGCGGCACACTGGTGTGCTGCGGCACACGGGTTGAAAAACACCGGTTTATACAATACAGTGAAACTCCTCTACAGCAAAATCATGTTTGCAGCAAGAAATTTTTCACAACAGGGGGTTTTTCACTGTAGCAAATTTGATCTCAGATGTAAGCACACACACACCCACACACACAAACGTATGTGTACACACACACACAAACATATGTGTACTCCATTTTTATTCCAATAGTGCATAAGTATGAGCACACACTTATTTGACACTTCACATTGTCAGTGTAGAAAGAAAAAAAGGGAAAGAAATTGCGAAATTTACGATGAGCATTCACTTTCACTTACATCAATTTCTTGGATAATGTCTTTTATTTTGCTTGCTCCGTCTTTCATTTTGATCACTTTTACCCTCTCTTCCAGATCAGAGCTTCTTCTTGTCTTCGCTGCTTGACATCCAAATGTCTGTTTTGTAGCCATTTTAGCAATGCAACGTCCACCCTCGTCTAAATCTAACAATAACAAATACTTCCTGGCATGCAATGAACTTTTAAGCCAGCCACGGGACGCTTCGATGGCCAGTTAGCTCTCGAAGGCTAAAAACCTTACGCTAACTGGAGCGCTTTTTTTTACTGGAGCGCTAATGAGAGAGAAGCGTTCCAGTTAGCGTAAGGTTTTTAGCCTTCGAGAGCTAACTATGGCCATCGAGGACTACGAAGCGTCCCGTGGGTGTTTTTAGCATGATAACAAGTGAAGCATTTGAGGAAACGTTCTTTTATTTGAATGTCCGTCGAGCCATAAGCAATTTACTCTGAGCAGCTAATCGGATGCATTCCACTCTATCTTCCATGGATCTAGCTTCAGTATCGACACACATAGACAGTGAGGTCCCTCTTGGCCAATCGGAGGCCAGGATGATGCTCGGTAAGCCAATGGCAGAGCAGCTATGAATATGTTGAGTACAGGAAACTCGCAGCTGTGACCGAAATAAACATCGTTCACTATGTAAACCAGTGTGGTGGTTGCTGTTGCCTTTTTTCGAACAAAGCAGTAGAGGTCGCTGTTGGATAAGACTTCGTTGTAGTGAGTGTCTTCACGAGGCTGGAGCAGAGAAAATGATTTCGTATAACGCAACAGGGGGGTTTTCGTCGTATGTGGGGCAGGAGAATGGGAATTGTGTTAATGCATGAAGATGTTTTCACATAAGGGGGTATTTTCGCCCATGTAGGTTTCGTTCTAGAGGAGTTTCACTGTATACACAAACCATAAACAAAACGTTTTGACCACTTGCACAAAATCCTGAATCAATAAATCAAACGTTCTGCCTTTCCAACAACAATACAGTACTTAGTTTTGACAACCACTTACGCTTTTTTTAACCATTGTTTTAAAATGTGCAGTAATTTGTGCAGTGAAGATGTGTAGAGTGAGAACATTTTCACCCACAGATGTCACCTCTTCGATTGGGGGATATTATACTACACCTGCAGAGCTGCCAACCGACAGAAGTTCACTTTCAAAACCATTTTTTTGAATTTCCATACTTTCAAAACTATGTCAAGAACATCACCGCGAGGCAGTTATTGCATACCCATCCATCTATCCGCTAGGGTGGAATGTGCGCTGGAGCCTATCCCAGCTGTCTTCAGGCAGCAGGCAGGGGACACCCTGAGCTGGTTCCCAGACAATCGCAGGACACATATACACAAACAACCATTTGTGCTCACAATCACACTCAAGGACAATTGAGAGTGTTCCATACACCTGCCATGCAGGATTTTGTCTGTACTGTGACAAGGACGAGAATTTAATCAAATTGACGCTCTTTAGTTGATGATATCTATCCGTTCATCCATTATCCGAGCTGCTTATCTTCAAAGGGTTGCGGGCGTGCTGGAGCAGCTGTTTTCGGGCAGTTAAGCGAGGCACACCAATAATAGTTAAAAATGGTGGTAAATATTAGAAGATAACTGGTGCTTTCGATTAATTGTGAGTGATTGAAAAGTGGGGCAAACTGGCCAAAATTACATAACTCACCTTTTGTCAAAGTTGCACAAAAGTAAGGGGGGGGGGCTCCTTTATATGGGAGGTTTGACTATGTTTGCCTTGGGACCGAACTGACGAACTACTGCCTCGGAGTGAGCCAGTGACATCCCCAGCAGCCTGACCACCAGTTTGTGATTAGCTCCTCATGTACTAAAGAAGGCAGCAGCTATTATTTGCAAGAACTCATCAGAAATGCATGACACATTGACCATGTGAACTTCATACGTACAGTACGTGGCGGTCATATGCTTCAATTTGGTGCCAAGCGGGTCCCCGCCGCTGCTGGCTGCACAGACGCACAGCGCGTCTTTCTCCATCAATTATGAGGCACCCGGGCTTGATTGCTCCGCACCCCGCAGCTGGGAAAGCCCTCCTCCCAAGTCTCCACTCAGTGCCAAAGTGAAGCATTTTAAAAAGTGGAGGGAAAATTAAAACCCCTCTGCAGCAGCAACCACTCTATGAATGAAAATTAACTGTGAGGACCATGTCAACAACAATGCTGCGTCTGCGAGTGGTGTGTTGTCAAACACAAATTGCAGTATCCAGGAACTATTTTTGTTCATTTTCAACCCGTCTGAGCAATTTGTCCCAAGTTTTGCTTTTAATATCCAAACGACTAACCAAATGCGAAAGAGTTAGTGTTTAGGGATTTCTGTCCAAAAAAAAATCTGGATGATCCATAACATGTGGCAGCTCTGCATACGCAAGGATATGGCTCTTGAGAACCGGAAGGTCAAGGTTTAAGTCCCAGTGCGGAAATTGACAATTACATGTTAGAGAGATGCTAGTCTGCTTCCTGATGACTGTTAAGGTACACCTGAGCATGCCAAAGACCACCCAACCCTACCTCAGGAAGTGCAGCACTGTTGCATGCCCCGATACTGTGACCTGTGTGATCTGTGTAATCTGGTCCTCTGTAGTATCCAACATAAAATATTTATAGCAGAGTGCAAACTAAATTTCCACTTGCATGATAATCATTTGTATATTAGAAATGACAAATTGTGAATGTGTATATGAGTATTTCCGGACACATTGTATAAGCTACATTAGATGACATTACAAAAATGAAAACCATCACTTACTTTGTTTTCCATTTCAAAGGAGTCGATCTTTTACAGACACCGTCACACCAGTTTTGAGCAGTCTTCACTCGGTCCTTCAGCAGGATGTGAGGATATCTGCAGTCGTAGAAGTGACAGTGAAATATTATTATGTCATCACCACTACACATGGTCGTTGTTGAGTGTTAGTGCAGTATTGCTTGAGAACCCCATCTGTCTGAAGGTAGGTATTCCTACTACATATAATGTATGTAGCTTTCATATACCTCATAAAAGCTATGAGGTGTCATATACCTCATAAAACCTTTGAGGTATATGAAATTAAACCAAAAAAAAAAGAAAAGCTACCTAACAATTTGAAAATCTCGAGTCTCCATTACTCTCAAGAATGGGAATAGCAAGTAACCGTTAACACCCCGTGCCCCCACGTGCGTATTTTTGCCAGATTTTTCAGGTATCTGCACTTAATCATCAGAATTTTTTTTTTTACTTTTACTCCCTACGTTTGAAATCGATATATATCGTATCTACTCCTTACTTTGTCAAAATAAGCTTTTTATTTTTTATGAGCTGTGAAAAAAAAGTGAATACAACAGTTACATATTGACAGGGAGCGCCAAAATGTATATGTACAGGGTTCGACATGAACGGTGGCCCAAGTGACTATGTCAGGGGACCTGAAGTTTACTAATGGTGGCTGGGCCACCACTAGAAATTTCTAGGGCCCGACCAATGATCTGGCCAATTGTTCTTACTTTCGAGTGTTCTAACCTTTTAGAGCAGTTGGGTGATTCTAATGTTTACTTAATTCGCTGATTAAAAAAATATCAATATAGTTATTATCAATAATTATGACGTATCAAATTATTAGATCACTTGAGGTGACATGCCATTCAAGGCTAATTAGTTTATTCTTTACCAGCAATGCTTATAGCAGCACAATCGTTGTGAAGGATTTGACCTGGATGTTATTATATTTTACAGGCAACTGAGAGTCACGGTTTGTTAATGAAAATAATAATAATGACTAAAAAAAGTGCAACATAAATATAACATGAATCCACATACGTCCGACCGATACGGCAAGAAAAGCCCAATATGCCCTCTGCGCGGGAGAGTGGTCGGGAATTGGGAGGCTACTGACAATCGTCCGTGAATTTAGGAGGTTATTTGGCATAACCGTGTTGACTTTTTGTTTGACTTTAATTTAATCTCGCTTGAAACAGGAAGCATGAAGTTGACATTTGTGAAGTTAGCAGGATTTCATCCACACATACGGTTCATTTGTTACGAATGGCAATAAAGTGATGTCATCGGTAATCAGACCCAAGGGTGGGCCATCAGGGCCTTGCCTCCCCACCAAGTTACTTTTGTCCTCCTCCCCCCAATTTGAGGCTTGAGTCTCAGAAAAGTATTTTATTTATTTATTTATTTTTGGGGAAAAACTACAAAGTCCTACTCTGTTTACCTTTTCAATGGTTCATATTTACATACTTTGTATGTATAAAGTTGTGTGAGAACCGATTTCACATGATTTCGGCATGCGCGGTGTAATTTGTGGTTTGAGGACTGGAGACAGCGTGTGCGGCACAGTAGGGAGTCTGGGGCTAGCATACGCACAGTGTTGTAAAATCGTTCATCAGTGTGCGTTGATGACCGGTAACTTGTGTCATTCTTATTTACGTGTCTGTTAGCACATTGTTAGAGCAAGCCATTATGTGTTCCACCTAATTGTTTAGTTCACAATTTTGTACAAGGTTTTCAATGTACCCACATGAGCGTGTAGTGATCAATTAATTTTTGGTATGTCATGAAGTCAGGTCCCGAAAGGGCACCAATCCAGTGTTACAATAAGAGCACAAACCAGAAGTGCTGCATAAATGTTGCGAGCTGAACCACACTTGGTTTAATATGGCTAGTTAAGTGAAAGTGTCATAACTTTTGTGGCGTACACACATTTAATGGCCACATAAACACACCCAGGCCCGAATACCTATAGCCCACAATAGTGTCAGACAAACACTTGTCTTATCTTTTACTACAAATTACATTGTTTTATTATGAATGATATTATTTATCATCTTTTATTATTTGTCACAATATTATCATCTTTTATTATTCCTTATTCTTATCGCTATATTTTATTTTGTTTAGACAAGTTGCGTCGTGCCAGCGTTGATGGAAGTGACGATTTCTGTTGATGTGCTGTTTTGTGATCATCATTTTTCAGGAGACCCCAAAACGAGGATGCTTGTTCAATTGCAACATCAAAGAAAGCAAGCAATTGCCAACAGTGGTGAATAATTTGTAAAAAGAACACACATGCATGGGGACCGACTAATATAGATTTTTTTTTTTTTTTAAATATTAAATTCATTGAATTGTGATACGAGGTATCAGCCCAATCCCAGAAATATACAGGGTGGTTCTGGCACATGGTACAGGGTCAAAAAGCTAGATGTAGAACACTGATGTGGCTTCAAAAATTCATTTGTACTGGCCTGCCACATCAGGAAAATAAATGTTTTGATGATTCCACACAGTTTTTTTTAAATTTTTTTTTACTGTATATCTATTTACACGTGACGACAAAAAATATACAGTGCCAACAACAGGTGGTGGTGGAGGCGGATATTTCTCAGGAGCTGGAGAGGAGGATTTATCGTGTCATACAGTATATGAGTTTAATTCCATTTGAAACATAAAGCACTACGTTAACGTGTGTTGTGATAGTTCATCCAAGGAATGATCAATTTGTGATGTGCTCTAAGATGTGACATCATGTTTCATTGTCATCTCCACAAAAAAAAAAAAAAAACCCGACATCTGTTCTCTGAGGTTATGTCTGGAAGGAGGCGCTAAAATATAAACAGAGGAGGTAGGATCGAGGAGGTTGCAAATAAAGAAATGAGATTTGGCTGCAGTGGCTGTGTGCCTGTTCTGTTTACTGCACTTGTAGACCATATGAGATCACACTCCGCATCGCCATCATTAGCCGTAGCTGATCACGCAACATTTCTTGGCCAAAATATCACTGGTCAATTTGTGGCAGTTATTGTGCGTCATTTGTGATTTCCTTCCAAATTTTTTAATCCCCTCAGACTGTTAAACAAAAACAAGAAAGTGGTTGGACAAATTCATACAGTATGAATTCATCTTTAATGCTCGCAACCTCACTGCATGATTGGCAATGCCAAGTGTTCCTTAGGTTAGCCAGCATGAGCAAAACTAGAGTCAGCACTTTCTAAAGCTGCATGGAGATGGGAAATACAAGAATACAGCGCCGCTGAAATCATGGCGAAGAGTGCCAGTTTTGAGTTGCAAAAATAAATAAATAAAATACTATGCCCGTTGGCTTTGTAGCCAGTCGCAAATCGCTCTTTAAAGCATCATATTACATTGCATACCTAGTAGCAAAGTAGGGCAAGATAATTATACCATTTGTTAGAGCCTATCTTAGTGAGCAATCCTTTACAAAGTCGGTAGACACAAAAAACAAAGGAACACATTTTTTTTGCAAAAATGATTTGACAGTGGAACTTGCCAAGGAGCCGGATAGTTCTGATTTTATCTCTGCAAGGAAAGTGGAGCTGAAACGAGTCGTCAAGTAATTTGGGTACCTTGATTCAAAAAATTGCTCAGGGCATTTTTTTCTGCATTGGGTACCCTCACTTATGTACGTGTACATTGCCAAGACTTTTAAGCTAATCACAGCAACAATTATTTATGCTATGCATGACAGTAATGTAAAGTATCTAACTGAAATGCCGCCAACACAGTAAGAAGACCAACTTCAAAATAAACCTAACCTTCATACATGGCAATGGCGAGTGATGAAAAAAGCGGAAGGGGCGTGGCCTGGACGGGGGCGTGGCCTGGACGGGGGCGTGGTTACTTACAAAAGTGGCACTAAACATGCTGAAGATGAAGTGTATTAAATTTACACAGTTTGAAAATTGAACAGAAAAAAATCCCAAGATCGCCACTATTCTTTCAAGTGAAAATTTGTGCAATTTTGCCTATGCATTCCTGGTGAGCACCAATATGTAACTCCAAATTTGCTGCTCAAAATCAAAACTAAAAAAGTAAACACATTCCCTGCCATATTTAAGATTTGTTCATGACTTGTATTCATAAAGTGTTGTGTAAATGTGATAAAAAGCTGTTGATTCTTACCTCATACAGTGATAGTGAATATTTATTATGCATACAATTTATTATGCATAACCGTGCTTTATTATCCAAGACAAAACGTGAATTATCAATATGAATATAAAACGCAAATAAAAACAAATAAATGTTATCATGCTGTTGCTACAAATGCATACCAAATAAAA